CGCACAGGAGAGTCTCAGGGACCCCCCAGGCTGGACCAAGCCTCCCCCAGACTCCACCAGCTGCACCTCACACTGGACACCTGCAAACACAGAGACACCCTTGTCATTAACTGCCACACATATCCACTGTTCCTCTCGCTCATGTCCACACACACTCTGTATCTCTAGTTCTCCATAAATCACCTTTAAAAATAGCAACAAGGAAGACCCAGCTCAGCCCAGACTCCATGGTGAGTCCTCTGTGTTCAGTCTGATCAACTGAATGGAAACACCTGGGAATCCCGGAGCTGGGCTCTTCTGCCACAGCTGCAGGGTCAGGGCTGGGCTGGTTTTCATCAGTACAGGGGGGCCTATTTGCATGTCTCCTACTATATAGCAAGCTGTAGGGTGGGATGCTTGGGGGGGAGGCTGTGCCCCGAGAAGATGACAGTGTCCTGCAGGAGTTTGCTGACAATGATGGTATTAGGAACATACACTGTTTTATGAAATTGTGTTGTCATAAACACTTTGCCCTGATCACCCTATTTCATTTTTAGATATTTGTGTCGGCAATGTTTTTTTATGTCAGTATTTCCTCCATTTCGCCACACGTGGCTTATTTTACTCAACATAAATACTTAGATATTTTACTTTGTTGTTCTGTGTATCAGGCATTTATTTATCATAAATTACGGATAGTATTCCAGTGAACACATTTATGATAATTTGTTTTCCTATTAAGCAGTTTAACAATATTTGCATTCTTTTATTACTCTTGGTCTTACCAAAAAATCTGCTACACAGCTTAGAAATGTACGTAGATGAATAATATATGTTACTTATTTTTTACCACCATAACTTCAACAATAATAGATAAACAGAGAAGCTGGAATTTGCATTTTTTTTGAGATAGAGTCTCATTGTTTTGCCTAGCCTGGAGTTCAATGGTCTGACCTGCAAACTCTGCTTCCCCTGTCCCAGCCTCCCGCATAGCTGGAATTACACGTGCCCGCCACTATGCCTGGATAATTTTTTTTTGTATTTTTAGTAGAGGCGTGTTTTACCATGTTGGCCAGGCTGGTCTAGAACTCCTGACCTCAGATGATCCACTCCCATTGGCTTCCCAATATATTGGGATTACAGGCGTGAGGCACCACCACTGGCCAATTTGTTTTTTAATACTTTAGATACTTGAAGTTTCAAGGTAAACATCAAATGTGAAATCTAGGGAGAGGCAAGTTCTTGTAGTGAGTAAGAAACCTAGGGTATGAGCTGAATTGAGGCAGAGTATGACATATAAAATGTGGCTATTACAAGATAAAAACACACTTTTATACTGGACACCTTGAAGTCGAGTGTGAACTTCTCAGGGACCACACACTGAAGAGCTTTCCTATTCTCTTGAATTCCTTTTCCCCAAAATGGGGACAGTCACAAAAATCTTTCTGTCCCAATGTGTCTGTCTGAGATAGAAAAAGAGCCTACACTCTGAAATGAATTTAGTCTCACCTCCCTTATCCCCACTGCAGAGCTAAGAAATTACTCTGCAAGGACCAGCCACCAAAACCAGCATATTAAGGGCACTGGTGTAAACCCTTAGGAACTGAGATGGTAAAAGAGGCCTTCATCTAAGTTCCACTGAGAATTGTCTCCCCTCTATTTTTTATTTAATCAGTCTTAATCTGTGGGTCAGGTCAGTGAATTTGGAAGGCAATAACACCGGAAGAGAACATTGGAGCTGTGGGAGGGAACAACTGGTGTAAACAAGAGGACTGTACCTCAGGGAAAAGAGCAAGAACACACACACCAACATCTCATCTGGAGGAAGTCCAGAAACATGTGAAAGGTCACACTCAGACTCATAGTCACAATTTGGACTCATGAAAGTCCAGAAAATCTTCATTTATTCTATTGCCTTCTATGAATTTCACAATTGTCAGTTAAATAAAATTTTAATCCACCTGAGGGAGTTGAAAGAGATTCTCTGGGGGTGGGGACACAGTGAAGAGGCAAAGCCAAGCAGGAAAGAAAAACAGGGTATCACTGGAGGATCCGATGTCTCTGGGGGACACAGAAAAACAGACTTCAACTCTGACGACCACTGCCAAAGTAAATTTCAGATGTAGTTCTGAGAAGATTCACATACACTTCCACAATAAAGGCTCCACAAAGGTAGTGTGGACAAATACAGGCAGAAAGTGCATAAAATAAAATAATAAGCCAATATCAACTGTCTAACCCAACATGTGTGGCTATCGGCAATTATTACATAAATTAATGAGAAATGCCAAAGTCATAATAAATGACCAGCATGAGATTTCTAAATGATACAGATATTGTAACTAATTAAATAAAATATATAAAGTAACTATAATTCATATGTAAAATCTCTTACAGAAAGTGTGGACATAATGCAGAAGTAGATAGGGAACTGAAATATGAAAATATTAAAAAGGAAAAAATGGAAATGCATAAGATGTTAAAAGCTATGCAATATAAACATTGAGCAAGCTTTGGGCATGTCCATCAGTAGAGCTGACTCAGTTTTAAATGAAACCATATGCATAAAACATCACTAGAAATTTCACAAAGTAAATTGCAAAGGAAAAGAGAGTAAAGAAATAAACTAAGCATCAATATCAAAAAGTATAGTATATGTATATTTTAAATCTGCAAAGGAGAAATTATAATATAGAGAAAATATTTGAAAAAAAAATAATGGCTGAGAATGTTCTCAATTTTGTGGAAGACGCTGAATTACAGATCCTAGAATCACAGAGAACCCCAAGTAGAACAAAGGCAAACATACACAGACACGCAAACCACACATCTACCATGGACAGAGTGGTGCACAAGAAAGGGCTCACATATCGCACACTATGGCACACATTTCCTCAACTTCACTTTTTTGACATAGTTGTTTTCAAATTATTTGCATGTATAGTATTAAGTAGAAGTATATATTATTCTATGTATAAGTCTGTCTATTTTTGCCATGATCATATACAGTTTGTGCAAATGAATTCAACTACGTTGTTAGGAAATTCACTATTTCAAATAAAAATGGCATTCATTCCTGGCTCTGTGTTAAATCATGTGTAATGCATGCCAGTAATATCCTTTTTAATTAAAGGGAATTTTTTAAGTTGGCACATGAAATCTGTTTATATTTATGGGGTACAGTGTAATATTTCAACACATGTGTGCCATGTGGTATGACCAAATCAGAACAATGTGCAAATTCATGAACTCAGACACTAACATTTCTTTGTGTTGGTAGTATACAAAATGCCCTCTTCTGCCTACTTGCAAACATAAAATATACAATATATTTCTACCTGGATTCACCCTACTGTGCTGGTGGACACCAGAGCATGTCCCTCCTGTCTACCTGTAATTGTGCATTTGTTAACAAATTTCTTCTTATCTCTCTGTCTCCTCCCATTCCTGGCATCTTATAACCACTACTCTACTATTTACTTCTAGAAAATCAACTTTTTAAAATTTCTACATAACACTAAGAAAATGTGGTGTTTATTTTTCTGTGTCGAGCTTGTTTTGCTCAACATAATGGTGTCCAATTACATCCATATTGCTTCAAATGGCAGAATTTCATTGTAAAGGTTAAATATTATTCAGTTGTGTAAATATACCACATTTTATTCATCAATTCATTGTTGATAGATGCATACGCTGATCTCATATCTATGTTGATTAGTGCTGCAATAAACATGGGTGTACAGGTATCTCTTCAATATTAGTTTTTTCTTTAATTATTTAAATAGATATATACTCAGCAGTTGGATTGCCGAATTACATGGTAGTTCTATTTTTTCCCATGATGGCTATAGTAATTTACATTTCCACCAGTGGCCTATAAGAGTTTCCCTTTCTATGCAGCCTGTCCAGCTTTGGTTTTGGTTTTTTTTTTTTTTTTTTTTTTTTTTTTTTTTTTTTTTTTTTTTTTTTTTTTTTGTCTTTCTTAGACTTTCTAGCAAAGATGAAGGATGAAAAGATATCTCATTGAGAATTTGCAGTTTCCTGAATGTTAGTGATTTCTAGCAATATATGTATGTATATACACCTATGTATCTATCTATCCTTTTTAATTTCTTCTTTTGAGAGATGTTGTAACATAACTCGTTATGTTATTTGCCCATTATTAATCACATTATTATTTGCAGTTTAGATGAGTTTATTTTATATGGTTGATAGTAATCCTCTGTCATATGAATAGTTTCAAATATTTCCTATCATCTGCAGTTCTCTCTTCACTAAATTGTTTCCTTGACTGTGCAGGAGCTACACTTTCTTGATAGAATCTGGACAGGTGGACTGAGGTGTGGTGGGACATTGGAGGGGAAGAGCTGGAACCAGTGTCCACAACGAGGTGAGCTTTTACTCACCATGTGGTTTCTGAGTTTATGATTTGAATAGATGCAGAAGATTTTGTTCAGGTTTCCGGAGGGTAAATAATTTGAAGGGAAAATGATATAACTTATTGGTCAAATAAATGAAAATATAATAACTGTGTATATGTTCTTGTAAGTGGGGTTAGCTCATCAGTGTGTCTTTATCCCCAGAAAAGAGAAGATTATGTCTGCTGGAAAAAGGATGCTTAGCTGTTGACATATGTGGTTATTACTAATGACAACTGAGCCTGGATACGAGGTCATGTTATAATGCTAGTGGGGTGTCATAGCAACAAAAACTGAAGCAACAAATATTTAAATGAAATGGCTTTGAATATCACTAGTAGTGAACATGCCAAGACAAATCAGTTACCACAACCAGGAGAATAATTCATGACCTCTCTTGGGATTCATGCTGAGAAGATATAAAATTTCCATTTAATGGCTCATTCCCACACTCATAAAATGGTTTAGATAACAATCTGAGAACAGAGTGTGACCTTACAGAACGTGGAGGCCAAGCATTTGGGAGAGGAAGAGTCTGTGTTGGAATTGTGAGAAGGGGAAACCTGAACTTTGCAGAGAAGCAGCAGTGATCAAAGGTAGAGCTGGATTCACTCAAGTTTGGTGGCAAATACAGTAAAAATGGGTTTCTCTGCCCTCATTTATTTTTTGTTCTCAAAACTCCCTTGGAAGTTTAGTTGTAAACATTGAGAATTTACCTAAAACTCAATCATGGCAAGCAATTTTACACTGAAGAAAGAGGTAACAATTTGAGATAATTGAATTTAGGTTATAAAAATTAATTATTAAAAATTCAATGTTAGTCTCTAGTAATTTATATCATAAAATGCTCAGCCTCATGAAAGGAGTCCTCTTATCCTATCAAGGAAGAATGTCCATGTGGGCACATGGTGCAGTCATGGAGATCGGGGGCATGGGCTGTCCGGGCTTTCCTGGTCCTTCAGAGGAAAATTGCAGAATCTTCTCCTCCCTTATTCCCAGCAGATTTTATACGTGTGTGTAACCCTTGAGGGTGCCATTCCCATGTCACTGCACAATAGAAGTCAAATGGGGCATGAAGCTGACATGCTGGGTGTAGAATTGGGTAAAGAAACTACCTGCATACATGAACTGTTGCATTATCCAGGCCTGGAGCCTCTCCCATCCAGGCTTTGCATTTTATTAGTGACTTTGTGTTGTTTAGTCAGTACAATTTTTATTTTTAACTTTCTAATGAAATAGCATCCCATAATAATCTAGAGGCATGAAGATTACAAAATAATTTATTTGGAAATTAACCCAAGTTCCAGGTGAGGTCATAGTTTGTGGTGATAGTGAGACAGGGAGAAGCATGGCTGGAAATGATGAATGTGCTTATAAATGCTTCATGTTAATGAGGAAGACTCTATACACCAAAAAGATTTAGACACTCTCACTGAGAACCTCGATCTAATATTATTTGCTACGACTTGCATCTCAATAGTAAAATTCTAGGTTTTATCTAAAGTTGCTGTTACTAATGTAAGCTTTCATTTAGAACATAGTTCCTATGTGATGTAAAATTAACCCAGATGGCAGAAGTGATTGTATTTATTAGAACTTTCCAGGCTGGCGCAGTGTCTCATGGCTGTAATCCTAGCACGCTGGGAGGCTGACACAGGGGAATAATGAGGTCAAGAGATCAAGGCCATCCCGGCCAACATGGTGAAACCCCATCTCTACTAAAAATTCAAAAATTAGTTACGCTTGGTGGCACATGCCTGTAATCCCAGCTACTCAGGAGACTGAGACAGGAGAATTGTTTGAACCAGGGTGTCAGAGGTTGCAGTGAGATCATGCCACTGCATTCCAGCATGGCAACACAACCAGACTCCATTTCAAAAAGAAAAAAAAAAGAACTTTCCGATTTTTCAAATTTGGAAATAAGCATGTTTTGGGGCAGTGCATGGCTTTGGTTTGGTTTGTAAACAAGAAAGTATATTGTATACTCTGGAACACCCACCAAAGTGGACAAATTAGGGAACTCTTAGAATCACGAGTTTATCCCAGATTCCTGGAAAATATAAAGCTGGAAGTCACTGCAAAAAAAAAAAAAAAACCCATAATATTGAAGCTAAGACAAGATTACATTCTCAGAAGATAAAACTACTGAAAGAGTCACAGTAGTTATCAAAAAATACCACTGCTTATCCACTGATTTTAAGTGAAAATGATTGAAAAACATCTAGTTATCAACTTTTCTTAGACAACTTGTGCCAGATGATTACAAATGAATATTTGTATTTCAACTGTACATTTTATAGACAAATTGGTTATCAGATTAGACAAGCACTTTGGGGAAATGTAGAAAACACAGTAGCGGTCAGTTCTTGATGAGGAGTGACCAGCTAACCACAAAATCCTGGGAGAACTCTAAGATTGGGACCTAGGCAGCAACAAAGCCATAGGGCCCTCTAGACACACTTAGGCAAACTTTCCTCAGTTTTCACCCTTGAGGGGATGTGAATGTATTTTATTTATCACCTATCTGTGTTCTTCATGTCTTCAAATAATTCCTTGACAAAAGCCTACAGCTTATTCAGCATCCACTTCCCACTTGGCACATGCAGTGGCCCCTGGCACCCGGCTCATCCTTGGCACTGCTCCATTCCATGGTTCTGAATGGGAGGGTGGGGGCTCTGGAAAAAATAATTGTAAGAGATAAATTAAAAGAATAATCTCTAATAAGGAGATGTCAGCATTCCATCTCAGAAAAAATTGAAAGTATGTAACACATACAAAGTCCTCAGAAGAAACTTTGAAGCCCAGGAAGGGTCTCATGTATGTTGTTTTGAAAAATCGAAGCAAAACATAATGAAATTAGGTGTTTCTGTGCTTATCTGGCACGACAGCATGTTGAAAAAACTGAAGAGCCAGGTAATCCTGAGGAGGTGGCCTAATCCAAGGAGACAGAGGCTTCAAGTTCTAGGGACACACATGGTTTGCCTGCTTCTGCCCATCTAGGAGCTACTTGCTGAAGCCTTCAGAAGACCAGAAGGTGAATGAATTTCTCAAGGCAATCTAATCACACCTGAGCAGGGAGAAAAATTCATGATGTAGGATGGATTCAAAAATATGTAATTAAAATTTTATTAAAAATTGAGAAATTTTTGTTGTATATATTTATAGGGTACAAAGCTATATAATGATTTATGAATGCAATATGGAATAATTGAATCGAGGTAATTGACATATACATCACCTCAAATCCTCAAATACTTATGTTTTCGTGTGTGTGACAAGGAAGTTTGTAATTTGTTCTTGGCTATTTTTAAATAAGCACTACACTATCTTTAAGCTTACAAATAGACATCAATTTATGTAAACTATAGAGAATGGCTGAAATCAATTGTGGATTACTATAATTTATATTTTGTTAATCATTAAGTTTCATTCTTTAGGACATATTTCATAATTATTTTATAGTAAATATAAAAGACTACAGATATATGCATAAGTCTGCGTATACATATTTCTACGAATGTAAATTTATGTCCCCATAGCTATGCAGTTGCTGATATCAACAGATATTAATAAAACTCTAGAAGAATAAGTGCGAATTAATAGGAAAAATTATTTCTTGAAGGTATGTATTTTTAAAAAATACCCCACACATAAATTTAAAAATTACCAAAACACAAATCTCAATAAAAACTCGTGAAAATTAACCACAGTAAAATATGACTATCTCATAAGACTGCTTAGTCTTGCAAAAACAAGCCTGCCTCCTGCAGTTAAGAAATGGATCCACCCCTTGCACCTGCTCCTGGGGCCTGCCCCGTTCTCGGTGGTCCCGAGCGCCCCCTGGTGGCCCCACGCGCCCCCGCAGGAGGTTTGTGTCCGGGCTCACTCGGTCCTCCCCTCACTGTGTCTCGCACAGTAATACACGGCCGTGTCCTCGGCTCTCAGGCTGCTCATCTGCAGATACAGCGAGTTCTTGGCGTTGTCTCTGGAGATGGTGAATCGGCCCTTCACGGAGTCTGCGTAGTTTGTGCTATCTCCATTATGATTAATTTGTGCGACCCACTCCAGCCCCTTCCCTGGAGCCTGGCGGGCCCGTTTCATGTCGTAGTTGCTGAAGGTGAATCCAGAGGCCGCACAGGAGAGTCTCAGGGACCCCCCAGGCTGGACCAAGCCTCCCCCAGACTCCACCAGCTGCACCTCACACTGGACACCTGCAAACACAGAGACACCCTTGTCATTAGCTGCCACACATATCCACTGTTCCCCTCGCTCATGTCCACACACTTAGTATCTCTAGTTCTCCATAAATCACCTTTAAAAATAGCAACAAGGAAAACCCAGCTCAGCCCAAACTCCATGGTGAGTCCTCTGTGTTCAGTGTTGATCACTGAATGGAAACACCTGGGAATTCTGGGGCTGGGCTCCTCTCCCAGAGCTGCAGGGTCAGGGCTGGGCTGGCTTTTATGAGCAGAGGGAGGGCCCAATTTGCATGTCTCCTGCTATATAGCAAGTTCCCGGGTGGGGCGGCTGAGGAGAGGGCAGGGCCCAGAGCAGATGAGAGTGTCCTGGAAAACATTGGCCGTAATCCTGTCTCTCAGGAAAATATGTCTTCAGATTATGTGATTGTGCCTTGATAACCATTTAGCAGTCATCATCTTATTTTACTATTACATATTTGCCGACTATGTTTAATTTGAGTGTCAATGTTACATTTTTAGAGAAGATAAATTACATACAGAACAGAGCAGTTGTGCAATGTGTCCAGTATCACACATCGGGACAGAATTAGCCACATTATCTGGCCTGCGTCTTTTAACACTGGAAGAGACTGCTCCCCTGAGACAGCTCCAGGGCAGTGTGGGACATTCCCAGTGAGGGTTTCAGGGTGTCCCACTTGTCATAACAACTTTAATTAATTTTGCTTTTTGTTGGGTTTACCTGAAATATACAATCAGTGTTCACATGTGTGTACTTTAAGGAGTCTGTGATTATTCAAGTGCCAATATTCATCTTTCTTTCTCTTTCTCAGGCAATAGATTCATTTTTGTTGCAGCTTTATTAAAAAATCAATCAATAGTCAAATTAATAGTTCAGCACTTGGAAAATGTTGATATATGTGTGCAGACACTGAACCAGCACTTCAATCATGTTGTCAGCAATTAAATTAACCTCTATTTTTTCCTCCCACTTCTCTGTAGTTTTGTTTCGCCACCTTGTTACTCTCACCACCCTATTCTCAGAAAAATTCAGATCTTCTCCATGTCAATTTTGAATAGTTTCATCTTCTACAATTTACACAAATGAAATCACATGAAATTTGCTGTTAATTATTTAGCTTCCTTCACTCAGCACGATTATTCGATAATGTCCCTGTGTTTTTATGTGAATGAGGCATGCCTTGATTTCAATGGTTCCTTGCATTTCAGTACATGAATATTTCTCAAATTCTTTAAAACTGCACCAAATAATGCACAGTTGATGTGTTGTCTTAGTTTCTGAATTTTATTTAGAAAACCAATATGAAGCATGGGAATGTAAAAAATGAGAAAATGATGATCTTATTCTGACCTCATTAACAAAAAACCTAAACAACAACAAAAATATTAACCTTTCAGCACATCTGAGTTGATGTCGCAGAGAAAAAAAACCTAATGTCTGAGAAAATAGGGGCCTGCAGAGAGAACTAGGGACCATTTATTATAGTTCCTAGGGCAGGTGACACTCACAGCATGGTATTTAAGATAGGAAAAAGCTAACCTGGAAATGTTTACTGAGTTGTTTGGATGTGTGTGCTAATGATGTTAGAGTGTGAAACTCCTGGTACTTGTAGGCTTTTCCCACAGAACTGGGGAAGTCCCCAGACAACTCATCCACCTGCCATCCTGTGGTGTTGACTGAGGAGGAAGAACAGCAGCTCCAATCAATGCTGAATCCCCCTTCACTATATGCGGGAGGCATTTATTAAATCTTGTGTCCTGTGGGCACTGGTAGAATCAACTAGAACACAAGGAAACAGAGCATGCCAAGGAGACTCTACCCAGAAACACCTCCCATCTCTTTCCTGAGGAATGAAATCCTAAATCTGTGGGGTAAGGACAGTGGGTCAGAAGCTGAGGACACTGATGTGAAACCACTGTGGCTGGGAAGAGACACTGACACTTGAGGAAGGGAATGTACAGGAACTCTTGGAAGGCCGTGCTTCAGACCCAGACTCACCACCCATAGCTAAGAAAGAGGCTCAGTCAGAAGGCTGGAGAAATGTCCCCCTGTGTCCAAGCCCCTTCACCACACAAACAGTCACCAAGTAAAATTGTCAGTAGAATACACCTGTCACAGCTGAAGAGATAAGCTCTCTCTGGGGAAAATGAAAAGTAAAGACCTAAACACAAACAGGAATACAAAAGCAAGTATTGCCAGAAGAACCTGAAGATTTTGTGAACAGGAGAAGCTGACTTCAACTCTTGACAGTCCTGGCAAACATAAACTTGAAATCCAACCCTGACTAGATTCACAGAAACAAGGTAATAAAGTCCCAGCAGATGTAATATGTGATCATGTCTAGGAAGAAAATAATGCATAAAGAAAATAAATTACACAGGAAATGCCAACTGGAATTCTACTGGCATTACAATTTCATTAAAAGTGAAAGGCAAATGAAATTCTGTCATTAAAAAAAGATCTTGACACAATTCGCTGTCAGCACATTTATGTTTCAGTGCACATTTTAACAAAGTTTCTCTGCTAGTAGCCATGTGATATGAATTCAAAACATAAATCTATGCAAAGAAATTAGGATTGTAAAAAATGGGAATATCGAGATGAATTGCAGTTTTTATCTTTGTAATTGCTATAATATGAAACTTATAAAACAATAAAAAATTATATATTACATTTCATCGTGTATGTAAGTGCAAATTGAGAATAAACCAGAAAGAGTGGTGGGAAGGAGGAATTCAAAGCACAGTTACACTCTCTCTGTACTTCATATCAAGATCATATCAGTATTTGCATTAGAATCTAGTTACAATTCTTATTGTAAACCTTATGGTAATGAATACAACAGTTATAAAAGGTATTTAATAGTAAATTAATAGATAAACATCATTATGAAATGCTTATTTAAACAAATTTAACAGAAAAAAGTCATATTAGTTTAAAAATAGAATTTATTGTAGTTGATTTAAAAATGTGAGACCCAACTATTACCTATGTACAAGAAAGTTACCCTACATATTCAGAAATAGAAAAGATAAAATGAGAAAACATGGATTATGAAAATATGAACCAAAAGAAAGTTATAGTAGCTGTGTAAATTTCAGACAAAGTGGATATCAAAAAAGACTTTAAGGTCTTAACAGGGATATTATATAGGATAAAGTTACCAGTGTTTTGAAAGACACCAAAAAAAGACTTACCAAATATGAAATTGATGAAGAAAGTGTCATTCATTGTGATTTACAGAGCAAACGTGGTGGTAGAAGAAGTAAAGATGTCAGTGAGACCATGCACATAAGGGTGCCCTGGGGACCATGAAGCTTCTGTGTACCCATGGAGGTCACCGCTGAGAACTTCCTCTTGAATTTCTCCCTGTTGCCACCCACACAAACTGAAGCTCTGGACCAAGCTTATGCTGCAATCAGTGAAGGTGAATCCAGAGGCTTTGCAGGAGAGGCTCATTGAACTGTTTGTCTGCACAATTTCTCCCCCTCAGACTCCACCAGTTAACTTCACACAGGACTTCTGCAAACACAGAGGGAGCAGACTGAGAACAGCCCCATGTGGAGCAGCCACAGCTGGACCTGATCCACAAGGAACCCCAATTTTGAGGGTGATGAGAAGGGAATCCAAATCAGTGCAGACCCCACGGTGTGGACACTGGGGAAGGGCACAGACATGGAGTGGCTCCTCACCAGGGCCTGAAGGAACAGGGATGAGCTGCCTTTCATCAGGAAGGGAGGGTACACTTTTCCATGTCTTTCTTTTTGTGGTCATGGTGCACCACTCAGCATTGCTCATCCATCATCTGTGTCTCTATTTCAGGGAGGGCAGGGTCATAGGATTCCTGGGTCTGGATCCACAGGGTTAATCTGCCCATTACTATTTCTTATTCTCTAATGTGGACAGTGTCCAGGTATCTTCAGAGTAGCAAATATTATCATCAAATAAGTCTGCTAAAAACATAAGAAATAGATTTCCTGAGAAAATGCACATCTGTCTGTAATCAGTGCACTTAGAGCTGCAAACCACTGTTCCTGAAAATGAGGCAAAGTTAAGTTAAAATGAAAAAAATGCAGATCTACACCTTGTCACGGAGGGGGTTTACTGTTGTCATTACCTTGAGTTCATTTTGCCATAAAGCCGTTCAACGTTGGATATATGTGCTTGTGTCAGGGAACAGGCAGTGTGGAAACACGTGTACTTATCTGTGTGACGAGATCACATGGAGACATGTTTGCTTGTCTGAGGCAAGAGTCCACATGAGGAAATGTCTGTTTCCTGAGGAAAGAGTAAATGTGAAGACATATGTGGTAGGCTAGGAAAGAGTCTATGTGGGGACATGTGTGTTTGTCTGAGGGAAGAATCCACAAGAGCAAAGGTGTGTTTCTCTGACAGAAGAGTCCACTTGTTGACAAGCATCAATGCCCATTCAGGGACAGTGTATGTCTGAACTGAACTGAACTTTGGGAAAATCTTTCTCGATCAATGAAAGGACAGGATCCTCTTGGGTATTTGCTTGTCATGAAGAAAAAACCTGCATCAAGTAGAATATTGTTTTTTATTTTTATTGCATTTTAGATTTTGGGGTACATGTGAAGAACATGCAACATTGTTGCATAGGTTCACACTTGGCAGTGTGATTTGCTGCCTTCCTCCCCTTCACCTATATCTGGCATTTCTCCCCATGCTATCTCTCCCCACCTTTTTAAAAAATAAAAGGTATTTAGTGAATGGAAACACTGTATATGCAAGTGAAGAACATGACTTCATTCTTTGTTGCATGCATCTCATAACATATCCACGCTCCCAAATAAGTTATTAGATAATTTTATACAGTCTGCATTTAATTCAGGGGTTAATAAATTGCTGAAGATATTTTTAATTTTTAAATATTTATGTTTATATTTCTCATCACAAAGTTATGAGCTTAGACAAATTAATTGTGCCATGTCTCCACCATTGTATATCATTAAAAATAGTCTTATTCTTCCTAAACAGTGCCAGGTTTACTTATTTTACACACACTCTCTAACTTCCTGAATATCTTGTCTGTATACTTGACTATAGTTTTGGCTTTTTCAGAATTTTAAATAAATGAAACTATACTGTGTAACTGAAATGACTTCACTGAAGAAAGTGGAAAATGAAGTTACTGACCCAAGGAACTTTGAAAATCAGGAAGTTCTGTAAGTTTAAAGGGTAAAGAAACCACA